CCCTGACTGGGAATCGAACTATGATCTCCTGGTTCATAGGTCCACACTCAACCACTGAGCTGCACCGGCTGGGCAATAAAAACATTTTTTAAAAAGAGAGCACCTTCTTGTTAACCATCCTGTAATCTAATCCCCTCCTTGCTTTCTCCCACCTTCATGTATCTTCCTTACATCCCGTCCTTAATTGCAAATGCGTAGAAGAAACTGGAACTGTTATTCTCCAGAGCATAAGGGAATTCTGGCCTATGTTCCAACATGCATGGAGCTTGAGGACACTATGCTGAGTGCAGCAATTCAATCTCAGAAAGATAATCCCTGTATGAGTCCACTTAGGTGAGGCACTCAAGTCTGTAGAGACAGAAAGTAGAATGGCCGTTTCCAGGGACTGGGAGGAGAGAGAATGGGGAGTTATTGTTTAGTGGGTACAGAGTTTCTCTTTTGTGAGATGAAGAGAGTCTGGAGACTGGTTGCACAGCAATCCTATATTATAAAAGGCTAATATGCAAATAGACTGAACAGTGGAACAATGGAACAACTGGTTGCTATATGATGTACGCTGACCACCAGGGGGCATGCGCGGAACATGGTGGATGTCAGCCACTGCGGGATGGTGGAGCAGGTGAGCAGGGGCACCAGACCAAGGTGGGGCAAGGTCGCTATCATCCAGACAAGCCTCTGGTGGTTACTGAAAATTCATTGCTCCCACGCACCACGGTCCCGCCCCGCGCTCACACCTGCTGTGGGTGTCCAGCGCCGGTCCTAATTGCTTGGAACCATCAGTGGGTGCAGGTGGCAGCTGTGGGCCCTGATCACTCCTAAGGGCTTCTCCACCTCCCCCTGCTCCTGAGGGGTGATTGGGGCAGCAGCTTCTGCTTGTACCCGCTGATGGCACAGGCCCCACTCACAGCCACTGCTGGTGCCGGCCCCAATCACTCTGCACCTTCAGTGGGTGCGAGCAGGGCTGGCGCTGTTAGCGTGTGGAAGTGGCAGAGGCAGGAGTGGGGCTGCTGGCAGACAGGGGACTGGGGGCTTGGAGGATGGGCCAAGACCCACCCCTGTGCCTACCGCAGCCTTGCGGCTCCCAGTTCCTTTCAAGGTACATGAATTTGTGCACTGATCCTCTAGTGTAAATATAATTTGACACTATTGAACTGTACCCTTAAAAATGGTTAAGGTGGTAAATTTTATTTTGTGCGTTTTTTAATGTAATAAAAAATTTTAAAAGAACAAAAGATGTGTTTCTTTAAAAAAACCTACTATGAACTAGAAGATGGAAAAGATGAACACCTCATATACTGTGAGTATAAATGTAAATTGGCACAGTTTGTTTGCATAACAATGTGGGATAGGTATGAAGAATTTTTATATGGCAATACCCTCTGACCCACTGATTCTACTTTTAGAAATATTTTAAGGGAAACAATCTCAAAGCAGGCTAACTCATATGCTAGAAGAGTGTTTTGCACTATTTTCATAAAGAACTAGAAACAAGCGAAGGTCCAAAGGTGGGGGGAGGACAGCAGAGAAGACCCGGCATCTTCAGGAGGGCTCACATTTGATCCCACAATTTGTTTTCTTTTCCCCAAGAGTACAGACTGGTGAGCTGAAGGGGAAACTCTGAGATCCCACCGCTGACACCATGACCTCAAAAGCTGATGGGATCTGCCCAGGTAGTCAAGTTCCTCCTTTCTGGCTGATTCCTGCCCACAACCTAGAATTGAGGGAGGTGCCTCCAGGATGGGTTAAACCACACAGTA